GGGGGGGGGGGGGGGGGCACCGCGGGGGGTTGCGATCCCGTTGCCGGTCCCCGGTCCGGTATGGGGGCAACACTGAGGGTTGCGATCCGTTGCCGGACACGGAAAAAGACAAAAAAAAAAAAAAAAAAAAAAAAAAAAAATTAGATTTCTTATAAAAATTTGGATTTCTGGCTTCTCTTGAAAAATCAGATGATCTAGCAATGTTGGGTCCCTATTCCACGTGGCAAAAATTAGCTGGAGTACACTAGTGGCTTTAGTCAGCGTATGTACTCCAGTTGCAATGTCCCTAGCATATCTCAATGTCAGGCAGAGTAATAACTGCTGTTTATCATCACAACTGGGCTATTTTTTGAAATTTTTATTTCCTTACAGTAAAATGGACATTTTTATAATGTACAGTTCTATGAATTTTAAATTTTATAGATGCATGTAACCATCATCATAATCAAGATATACAATACTTCCATCACCCCCCAAAATTTCCTTGTGCTATCCATTTGTAGTCATACCATCTCCTTATCTCTAAGACTTAGCATCCACTGACTACAGTTTTGCCTTTTCAAGAATGTCACATAAATGGAAACATACGGTATGTAACCTTTGGAGATGAGCTTCCTTCACTCAGCATAATGCCTCTGAGAGTCTTCCATGTGCTGCATGTATCGATAGTTCATGCCTTTTTACTGGCTGAGTAATATTCCATTTTAAATGTGGCTTATCACACTGATTGATTTTCAAATACTGAAACAGCCTTACATTTGTGGGATAAACCCCACTTGGTTGTGTTATTGTTCTTTATATATATTGCTGGACTCAATTTGCTAATATTTTGTTGGGGATTTTTAGGCTTAAATTCTAAGGGATATTGTTCTATAGTTTTCTCTTCTTGTACTGTCCTCTCAAGGTGGTGCAGGCCTCAAAATAAGTTAAGTGTTTCCTTCTCTTCTATTTTCTGGAAGAGATTGTGTACAATTTGTGTTACTGCTTCTTTAAATGTTTGGAAAAATTTGCTAGTAAAGTGATCTATGCCTGGAAATGTCTTTTTCATAAAATTTTAAACTACAAATTCAATTTTTAAAAAGTTATAGTGTACTCAGGTTATCTATTTCATACAGACAATTTTGTAGCCATACCACTAATGTGCTGAACAACTGTAATTTTAATCAGACCTATATATGCAAACAGTGTTTATTATACACAAATTCTGCTGCATTCACTAGACATTCTTTTATAAATCTTACCATCCATAAGATGGTAGATTATACTTTTCAAGTGATTGGCCCATTTCATCTAAGTTGTCAAATTGAAATATGTAGAATTGTTTCTAGTATTCCCTTAATGTCTGTGGGTTCTGTAGGCTGCTTTCTCACAGCAGAATCAAGAGGAAAGTGAAATATTTCTTGTGTCCATGAAAGACAGAACAAAAGACTTATGAATTTCAAAAGAAATGGGAGAAGACATATTTCTTTGTGGAAGAGAATATTCATAATGGTGAAATATGCAAACAAAATGTGACTATGTCAAAAGTTACCATATGAAACAAACTTTAGTAAGAACACCTATCAGTATGTGGAAAAGATAAATGACGAAAATTAAATAAACAGAAAAGCACTTAAAGTTAAAAAGGGTTTGTCTTTTAATGCAAATAAAATAAGTGAGATTCCTGTAACACACAGTTATATGTTAAGATAAAGAGCTTTTTTTTTTAAAAGATGACTGTAAGGGGATCTTAACCCTTGACTTGGTGTTGTCAGCACCATGCTCACCCAGTGAGCTAACCGGCCATCCCTATATGGGATCCGAACCTGTGGCCTTGGTGTTGTCAGCATCACACTCTCCCGAGTGAGCCATGGGCCGGCCCCCAAGATAAAGAGCTTTAATGTATCAATCCTCTTATGGACGGTAAAATTTATAAAAGAATGTCTAGTGAATGCAGCAGAATTTGTGTGTAATAAACATTGTTTGCATAGTGTCTGATTAAAATTACAGTTGTTCAGCATGTTAGTGGTATGGCTGCAAACTTAAAAGGCAAATTGAGGGAAAATGTTAAATAATTTGTGG